AGAAGAAGAAGAAGAAGAAGAAGAAGAAGAAGAAGAAGAAGAAGAAGCTCTCGCCTCACAATCAGAAGGCCAGTGACTTGGATCCTAGGTAGAGGGCTAATATTTGGAATAGATTATCCTGCTCGAGCAGAGGATTGGACTAGATGACCTCCAAGGTCCCTCCCAACTTTCTTATTCTACGAAAGACTGCAAACGCCACCCCGGGAAGTCCAATCCCGCGAGTTTAAAATTGTGGGGATGGGGAGCTTGGGATAGTTCCCCCGGAGATTTCTAGCCACCGTTTGGTCCTCAGCTGGCTTAGGTGGCCTCCCGCTCGGAATTCTTTCCAAATAGAATAATTCCGAGGATCAGGGCGGCGTGCGGGGGAGGGGGGAGAGACTCCGCCTGGGCCCCCAGCAAGTGGCTACCCAGGCAGGCCCGCGAGAGTGCACCCGCACCCCAGCACACGAACCATCCCCTCCCTTCCCTGCTTCTTCAATTGCATCCTAAGCATTGTCGAGCTTTTCGTCGTATTTTTCTTGGCTGGTTTGTGTGTGTGTGTGTGTGTGTGTGTGTGCGTGCGTTTTTAGGGACCGTGGAGCCATTGCCCTCCCTCTTTTCCTAGCGACAGAGGGGCGGGGATCTGGAAGAAGCTGTCGACGCCTGTTCAGTTAATTTAGCTTTACTTTGTCTAATTACCGGCGTAGCTCCGGGGAAAAGGAACCCGGCTCAGGACGGTAAACTGACACTTGGGCTCGGTGGGTGGTATGAGCCTGGCGGAGGGTCGGGGATGGAAAAAGCCTGCTTCCACTCAGCTCCTCCAGGTCACTGTCTGAAAGCGGCCAGAGCAGCAGCAGCACCAGCCGCCGCCCCTCCCCTGCCTTCCCCGGGCCCCCAGAGCACCTCGGAGCGGCACCACCAACGCTGCTGAGGCTTAAGGCTCACCCAGAGAGCCAGCTGGCCTCGGGGTAGCTTCAGCTGCACGTGGGCAGGCGCGGGAGATTTGAAAAAGTCCCCGCACCCTTGGCATGAGGAGTGGATTGGGAGCCAAGCCAAACTCCTTCTTGGAGCTCCTCCGTCCCGACCTGAAAGGAGCAGCAGTTGGGAACCTCGGACCCTGGGAATATTGGTCGGCTAGTCCCAATTTGTTTTTTTCCTTTCCTTTTCTTTTTTTTTCCCAAGAGGCAACTGGACTTTCTGGTTTTTCTTTGAAGACGTTTCTCCTCTTGTCCAAGAAGCTTCTTCAGTTCTGGTTGACCAAGCGGCCAGCTGTCTGAAAGGGATATAAATCCTTCCATTCCCCACCATCCGGTCAGAGCTGAAGAAGCGTCGTGGGTGAGAGGAGAAATGTCTTCCAAAAAACAACAATCCCCAAGAAAGTCCAGTTTTGCCTCTTGAAACAAAGACAACCAGGATCTGGATGACTGAGAATCTCCATAGATATTAGTTGGTTAGATTTCTATCTTGGGTTTATTTTTATTTTTATCTTTATTTATTTATTGATTTTGTCAAACGCTTACAAACATGATAGAAATAAGAATAAACACAAGTTTAAATACAAGAAATAGGAACTAATACTTGGGGACCATACGACAGGAACGGTAGGCACGATTGTGCACTTATGCACGCCCCTTAACCTTTCAGTTACCCAAAGAGTCATTTTATCCTCTTCACAACATCCCTGTCAAAGAGAATGGCTGGCCTTGGGATCATCCAGTAAGTTGCCATGGCTGGTTAGGAATCTCGCTCTCTTCAATCCAAGATCAATACCCAGTCGATTTCCCCACCTAGAAGCACTTTGGCGATCGGTCGAATCAGTTGTCAAGTGGGTGAAATAAACAGAGACTTTCAACTCTAGACGTTCCCAACTTAGAGGTCTCCAAACTTGACTTGGGGTGCCCACATTGCAGCCCTGGTCAAAAGGGCCCAGCAGAGATTATACTACCTGAGGCTTCTCAGAAAACAATAACTGAATGAGAAACTGCCAGTGACCTTCTACCGCTGCCCCATAGAGAGCATTTTAACATACTGCACCTCTGTATGGTTTGCCAATTGCACAGTGGCAGATAGGAAAGCACTTCAAAGGGTTAATGTCATTGCCCAGAATATCATTGGTTGCCCTCTCCCCTCTTTGGAAGAGCTTTATAGCTCCTGCTGCCTTAAGAAAGTTCAAAATATTCTCAAAGATCCATCTCATCCTGGGAACCCTTTTTTTTTGAACTATTACCATCTGGCAGACGGTACAGGATAATAAAAACAAGGACAAATAGGCTGAAAAACAGCTTCTGTCCCAGGGCAATAGCTCTTTTGAATTCTGCTGTATAGTGCAGTGTTGGTGTGGTGTCCGGTTTTTTGGTTCAATGTGTGAAGGGTGAAGGATGTGTGTTTGTGTTTATTTTCATGGTCACGGTCATGCTGTGCACTGAAGATGGTGTTTGATTTCGTTGTACGAGGTGCAATGACAATAAAAGCAAACTAAACTAAACTAAACTTGGCAACTTGAAGACTTGTGGACTTCAACTACATGTTCCTAATTTAGGAGATCTCCAAACTTGGCAGGTGAAGACTTGTGGACTTCAACTCCCAGAATTCTCCAGCCAGCAAAGAATTCTGGGAGTTGAAGTCCACAAGTCTTAAAAGTTGCCAAGTTTGGGGACCCCTGTGACCTAACTTCTAGGGTTGGAAAAACCAGGCTTGAGTTGCTCAAAGTGTTAGGATCCCATCTTCAGGTTCAAGCCTGATTGGGTTCCGTTAGTTTGGCTTCGTCGTCCTCAGAGCAGAGAGAATTTGGTTTGAAGGTGGGAGGCTTGAAGATTTAAAATTCAAATCCGTCCTTGGATTCATTACATGAGGGGGGGGGGAAGGGGAGACCATGATCTTGTCCCTTCAGACTGGATTGTGTTTGTAAATTGGAATTGTGGGTATGTCAGATTCAGGACAACGAAATGCCCCCAGAACCTTTTCAAGTAGATCTTCCGCAGGAAAAAAAAAACATAATTTGTGAAGTGCCTTTCCCTTATAAATATTTCTCAGGGTGAACAACAGGACGCCTGGAGCTCCGTTTCTAATATTAGAACACAGAAGACGTGTAGGATTCTGGAAGAGATTTAAATCATCTTTTCACGAGAGAGCCTCCGTTTTCAATTCTGCGAAACTGAAATCGCGGTCTTGCCTTCCCAGATTTTGCCCTCGACTGACGGAACCCTGCGTACATGTGCACGCGCCCTCGTGCACTGCCTTTGAAAAGTGGTTTGGGAAAGAAACGGTGAGCAGAAATGGCAAACAGGGTTCCTTGCCTTGAGAGAAAAGGAATGTGGGAGTTTAGGAAAAAGAGCTCCGTGTCTGTCATGCCCTCGGAATAGATTCACTCTGCTTTCAGTTCTCGGAATTACCGGCTCCGGATGCTAAGCGCACCTGCAGGAATAGGTGGACACGCACCTGAGGCCTCTTGCGCCGGAGGAGAAAGCTTTCCAGGTTGATGTCTGCCTTCCACTAAGAGACACCAGTAGGTCAGGATCGGGCTACACATTTGTAAATCTGCCCCTGGCTGAAAGTTAAGGGCGACCACTGCCGTTTGGCTTCTGAGGTGGGCTAGCGCTGCACCTAATGCAGAAGTTGTAATGTTTATTGCCAAGGGTCGAGAGCAGGGGTCTCCAACCTGGGCAACTTTAAGCCTAGAGGACTTCAACTCCCAGAATTCCCCAGCAGCAAAGCTAGACCAAAAAAAACTCAGACAAAGAGCCCCAAGACATTAACCAAGCTCGGTTGGCTTCTCAGGAGGGTTGTTGTGAATACAGATCTCTTAGGTGCATTAAGTGTGCACATAATGCTGGGGAATTCTGGGAGCTGAAGTCCTCCAGGCTTACAGTTGCCAAGGTTGGAGACCCCCCTGGTCTTAGAGCAGGAGTCCCCAAACTTGGCATCTTTAAGACTTGTGGACGTCAACTCCCAGAATTCTCCAGCCTGGGAGCTGAAGTCCACAAGTCTCAAAGTGGCCAAGTTTGGAGGCCTCTGGTCTAGAGTAAGAAGAAGCCCCATCGATTGCCGGTTGCTTTCCGCTTCAGCTTAGATGGCATGTTGGTGCCCTCTGAAAAGACGTCTGCTCACAGGAGTGGGTGCCATTCTCCAAAAGAAACACAAACGTTTCCGCTGGGGAAAGCGGAATTCAGCCCCTTGGGAGTCCCCCAGCCAAAGGAGCGAATCCCACAAGCGGTCCTTTCGGGCTAAGGCGAAAATGCTTGGCCCTCCTCACGCCAAGCGAAGGGAAAGGCCGATGGCCCCAAACGCCATTTACCTTGAGGAGCCTGGGGCTGGCTAGCTAGGCGTGCGCCTGGAGAGACTCGGCCACTGCCTGAGGGGGCAAGTTGATGGATGACAGAATGGCGTGTCCCAAATATGGCAGCCAGAGGGATCTGGAGCCTCCGCGGGGAGCCCGCAGGCCTGGAGGCGGGAGTGGGACGGGAGCCAACTGGAGTGGGACCGAGAAGCGCCCGCCCTCCGCCTCTCCTCTCTTCTTCCCTCTGGCCTGAGTTGTGGGATAAATTCAGCGGAGGAGGGGAAGGGAATTGGGGGGGGGAGGAGAAGGGATTACCCTCCCCCTCCTTTTCCTTCGGCGCCCCCCCCCTCCTCCCACACACGCTCCCACACTCCTCTCCAGGCGATAGCCCGCCGCAGATTTTGTTTGGCTGCGCTGCCTTTAACGCAAAAGCGGCGCAGGGGGTTTGATGGATTTCCTCTTCTTTAAAAGGCTTCGGGAGGCCACCAGGCAGGGGGCAGAGAGCGGAGCCCGGGAGAACTGAAGGCTCCTGAGGAGGAAGAGGAGGAGGAGGAGGCGGTGGAGAAAGAGAAGGAGGGGGCCAGACAGGAGAGGGAGGGAGGGAGGGAAGGGGGGCGCTGGGCTTGTGTGCAAGAGCGAGCGAGCCCGGGAGCGGGGGGGGGGGAAAGCTTGCGCAAGGGAGGAGGCAGAGATGATGCTCAGGGCGCCGCTGCCAGACCGCTGAGGAGGTGGCCCAGGAGGAGCAGCCTCCATGAGCTCCGAGATCGGGGCCCCGGTGCCTCGCAGCCCGGCCTTGATGAACCAGCCGCCGCCTCCGCTGCCTCCCTCCGCCCTGGAGACGTCCAGCACGGGCAGCAGCACCTCTACAACCCCCGGCGGCGGCGGCGGCGGCGGTGGAGGCAACAACTCGGGCGGCTGCGCTTCCGCCTCCGCGCCCTCCAAACCCAAGAAGGCCAGCTCGGGGCTGCGGCGTCCGGAGAAGCCGCCTTACTCCTACATCGCGCTGATCGTGATGGCCATCCAGAGCTCGCCTTCCAAGCGGCTGACGCTGAGCGAGATCTACCAGTTCCTGCAGGCCCGCTTCCCTTTCTTCCGCGGCGCCTACCAAGGCTGGAAGAACTCGGTGCGGCACAACCTCTCCCTCAACGAGTGCTTCATCAAGCTGCCCAAAGGGCTGGGCCGGCCGGGCAAGGGTCACTACTGGACCATCGACCCAGCCAGCGAGTTCATGTTCGAGGAAGGCTCCTTCCGACGACGCCCGCGGGGCTTCCGAAGGAAATGCCAGGCGCTCAAGCCCACCATGTACCACCGCATGGTCAACGGGCTCAGCTTCCTCCCGCAGGGCTTCGACTTCCAAGCCGGGCCGGCCGCCCCTCTGGGCTGCCACCCCAGCGGCTACAACCCTCTGGACGTCATGCAGGCCGGCGCTGCCTACGACGCCCACCACGTCCCGCACATGTCGCCTAACCCGGGCTCCACGTACATGGCCAGTTGCCCGGTGCCGTCCAACGGGCCGGATTACGGGCCGGATAGCAGCAGCAGCCCAGTGCCTTCCTCGCCTGCCATGGCCAGCGCCATCGAGTGCCACTCGCCCTACGGCAGCCCTGCCGGACACTGGACCGCCTCGGCGGCCTCGCCCTATCTCAAGCAGCAGGCCCTGCAGCCGCCGCCGCCGCCGCCGCCGCCCGCCGCCGCCCCTGCCGGCATCCACTCGGGAATGGCCTCCTATTCGCTGGAGCAGAGCTACCTGCACCAAAACGGCAGGGAAGACCTCTCAGGTACCGCAGCCGCCCCGTCCTGTCCTTCCCTTCCTTTCCTCTTTCTCCTTTGCTTCCTTTTCAAAGGCCGAGGCCTCTTTCCCTGGGAATCTGGAAAGCAAAAAAACCCTCCGCGAAGGTTGGCCGGAGCCAGAGCCGAGTCTCGGGCCGGGAGGGCAGAAATGAAAGCCTAGGCACTCACATGACTTGGAAGCTCCTTTGGTACTTTGAAAGGTAAAGGTAAAGGCTTTCCCCCCCTGGCACATACGTGCTGGTCGTTTCCGGCTCTAGGGGTACTTTAAAGGCCATCGAATGGTTTATAGATGGTCCAATCCTGTTGAGAAACACGGAGTTTGCAGACCATAAGCCCGCAATCTGTCCTTTGCAGGAGATTTCCAGAATACGGACTTGACTGCCATTTCAATAGAAGCGTTAGCTTTAGGGTGAAGGTGTAAAATGAGGCAATTGTGAGTGTTTTTTTGTTTTTTACTCACATGTATAGATTGGAGAATTGTATTCTTGAAGGGGCTAGAGAGAAGAAAGTGAAGCGAGTCCTGGCTCGAGGGGGGGGGGGGGGGAGAAATCTGAGAGTATCTGGCTGCGATCCTAAGCAAACTTACCGGTGCTCAGAATCGCAGCCAGATCGGGACGTTGAGATAGGAACGTTGGATTTGTATATTGCTGCCGTTCAGTATCTGATCTAGATTCTTTCTACTGTGTACAGTAACTGACCTGATTGGTGTGTGTGTGTATGTGTGTGTGTGTGTGTTGAAGGGGAATTGCCTTGTTTCTCCCACCTCGAAGTGAAATTTAGGGTAGATTAAAAAACAAAACAAAAAACAAATCACAAAAATGTCTCCTGAGTGCTGAAGAGAGACCCCCCAAATCCCTCCGCCCCGCTAAAGTTAAGTCGTAGCTGTCAGATAACAAGCCGAGGAGGTCCTTGTCCAGTACAGATGTTTTCAGAGAAAACACCAGCTTTGGTATAAGAAAGCAAAGGCTTTCTAGGGGGATGGGACGAAAGGAATAGGCCGAATTGTTGCGGGGTGGGGGTGGGTGGGGGATAGAGAAGGGTAGCGCTGGGTTAAGCAGAGAAATTCACATCTGCAGTCTTAGCCTCGCGGCATCTTGCGATTTTCAAGATGAGTCTCGAATTCCGCTGCTAGTTCCCTCCTTACATCCTCCACCCCAAACTTCAGTTCACCAACCACCCCCCGGAAGACAAAGGCAGCAGTCGCATCCAGGAGCTTCTCCACACTCAAAGATCCCCAGCTACGTGGTGTTTATGAGGTGCAGTTCTCCCCACTGTTTCTGGCACACACACCCTCCCCCCCTCTCAACTCAGAGTAGGAAAAGGCGCCAGCAATGTGTACAACTAACTCTAAAGCTGCGGTTCTGGAGTACCGGGTTTTTCTTAAACACCCCCCCACACACACACACACCCCATCCCCGGACGGTGCTAAGGCTCCTTAGACTTTGCTTTCAGGCAAGGTAAAATTTAAAGGGGGTGTTTCAAAGCAAACCCCCACACACACACACATACACGAAACTGAATGCGATGACTTCTCATTCGAAGAAGTAAACCTGGGTAGGAGAGTGGACCGCCTTTAAGGATAAAGAGGCAGAAAGTGAGAGAGAGGAAAGAGGAGAGAGGGAGGGAGAGAGAGGGAGAGAGAGAGAAAGGGAGGGAGAGAGAGAGAGAGAGAGGGAGAGAGAGAGAGAGACGCCGGGACTTAATCAATCAAGAAGGGTTCCGTCCCAGGCCCTACTCCGTTGGGGTAGTTGTTGTTGCGTTCGGGTTGTTCTTTAACTTTGCCATCCTGCACACGTCTTCGCAAAAGGAGGCCTTTTAAACTCTTGACTCTTGGGAATCGGTAACGTCCCAGCAAAGACGGTGGGGATTGGTATTGTTTCTGTATCCTGTGAAATCGCCGAAAGTTTTCCCTTACACACTCCCAGGCTGTGTGTTCCTGTAGGTAATGCTCAGCTTTAGTATATATATATATTTTCCCCTTGGGGAATTTTACTGGGTTCAAACCCTTTCTCTCTTCCCCAGAAGGCAGAAAACGCTAAATCTCTAAAGGATCTTTAGTAGTACGCTTATTTAAATAAAAATAATAATAATACTCACTGTTGTACCGGGCTAATTGAAAAAAAAAAAGAGGGGGTGTAATTGCAAATCGTTCTGCAGATGGTATGGGAGAAGCCCAGCTTTGTGCATTTGTGCATTAAAAAAAAAGCCCCAAACAAAAGGGTGTTCGGGTTATTTCTATAACTGGAAGGAACTGCCGAGAGATCGTCTCTTCGCAATATATTGTTTTGTTTTTAAGCCTTGAAAAATCCGGGGGAGAGCAAAGAATGGAGAAAATAAGGCTTCGAAATGGGTAAAAGATGTTCAGCTGGGATTGGGAGGGGGGGGGGAGGAGGCGATGGGTTCTCCAAATAACCCTTTTAAACGTGGGTCTCGAAGGTTAACTAAACAAAGACAGTCTGGGGCTGGACCACACCGAAGGGGACTCCGGAGCTTGACTTAACCCAGATGAGAGGGAGGTCTTGTTCAATTTTATGGGAATTTCAACAAGTCACAAATACAGACGACCTTGTCCACTGCTTGGGATTTCTCCTCGGTGACCTGCTGTCAATCAGCGGCAGAAACCTTCCCGCAAAACGGGCCTCCCCATCTCGGCGCAGTTGTTTTTAGCTGGGGAGTTTGAAAAACGACCGTCCCCTGAAAGATCTTTTCTTAAAACTGGTGTAATAATAACAACAGCAACGTTAACAACAACAGCAAGAACGGGGAAGAATGGAAGTAAGACAGGACCCTGGAAAACGTTCCGTGTTTTTTTTCTTTTTTCTTTTCGCCTCTTCCAGTTCCTAATGCCTCCGTTCTGAAGATCTAAATATAATTTCGGTTGTTGACGTTCATGAATACACAAACAAAACGTTCCTGCACGAATTCTACGCGAAATACAACTCCCCAGGAAAATGCAGTGTGTTTTTCCTCCTTTACCTTCCATAACACCAACGATTTCTGTTCCCTCCTTTTTCTTGATCATGAAAGGGCTGTAATCGGAATAACCTCACTAATTCCTGACTACACATCTCCGCTTTAAAGGGGCAGGCGGAGTTGTAGTCCGATCCCTAACCTGGCTTAAGCATCCCTAACCTGGCTTAAGCAACGGTGGGACTCTGGATAAACCTTTTTGAGGGCTTCTACGCAGGCCTGAGTACCTGCTAATTCTTTGGGTTCCTTAAGTGTAAAAAAAAGGGGGATAAGATCTCAGTATTTACACCATGGTCTTCGCGAGGTTTGCTCTCCGAGAAATGAGCATTAGCTCCCAAGCTTGATTTTTAAAAAAAGCTCTTCCATGAAGTACGATCGCTCAAGAGATACTTAAAAGGGGGTTCCCTGAGATCACTTAGACCTTCCCAAATAAGCTCTGTGTCCATCCCTGAAGAAGCTACGGAGCCAGAGTTTCCTATTTCCGATTTTTAAACGTGTGTGTGTGTGTGTGTGTGTGTGTGTGTGTGTGTGTGTATGTGTGTGTATCTAAGGGAAGGAAATATACCCTGCTTAACCTGGGGTGTGAATCCTGAGCTTTACTTGTGAGTAAGCATAGATAGGAAACGAAGGTCTTTCCACCCCTCCCACCCAAATTCGGGTAACTTTTGAACTGAGTAATTCTCAGACGAAGTGATCCTTTCATTATCCTAGCTAGCCGGGTTTTTAAGACAACTTATGCCCAAGTATAATGAGAAAGCAAAAGATCCTTCTTTCACAGCTGGCAACCACAGCTGGTTGTGGTTCTTGTCGGCTGGAAACCTAAACCCTCACAGTGTCCCAAAGGTGCTTTCAAAAAGGCAAGTGGGTTTTCCTTGGTTTTCCTTGAAGGCGACGGTGTTCAATACTCTGCAGTGGACTCTCCTGGAGAAGCTAATATGGAAAAAAAAAAAAACCGTCCAATGTAAACCAACGGGACTTTCTAACACGTTTAGCCCATAGACTGGAGTTTTTGAAAGCGAAGGGAGGATTCGGAGCTGACAAGACTATGCAAAAAAAGCCATCGGTGAAAAAAGGACACGTTCGAAATGGTCCGAAGCTAGATTTGCTGAGGAGAATCAATTCCCTCTTGGTATAAACCCCACGCGTTTGCAAGGGAAGGCACTACAGCCAGGCCTCAAGGCCTACGGCCCTGGAGAGGACCAAGAAAGGTCCACGCCACCCAGTTTCCAAAATCATGGGTCTGGGGGTCGAAACGAGCAGTTACGGGAGTCTCGAAAATACGCACAGGGGATTTATTTCCCCATCCAGCCGCTGAGCCCTTGCTATAAGATCTCGAGATCTACGCGAGTTTTTTCCGCTGGGTCATTTTCTAGGCTGGAAGGAAATCGCCTCTCTTTCTCTCCCAATTGATTTTGGTTTTTGGTTTTTTTAAACCGGCCACTCGAGTCGAATCGCGATCCAATCGGTAACACTTCCACACCACCACTTCTTTGAATCTCTGGTTAGCCCTGGAAAAGGCCGAGCGAGATTGGAACCAGAGACCTTGTTGTTTTTTTCCCCGGATATTTGAAGAAGGGGAAAGAAGGAAGAAAGGGAGAGTCGGGCTGTTTTTTGTTTTTGTTTTTGTTTTGCTTTGCTTTGTTTTGTTTTGTTTTGGCACACCCTTAATCCAAGCCGAACCGCTTGAATCAGAGTTGTAATAAAACTTTGCGGCCTTTCTTGGGAGCCTAAGAAAGGCGGCGGGAATCCAAGGGAAGCGGTTGATTTGAGTAGAAAGGACCTGAGCAGAAAGGACCCAAAACCCAAGAGGCGAAAAGAGAGGGACCGTTTCAATGGCTACTTGACCCCCAACTTGCAGCGTCGCTGGACGTGAGTTGGGAACAATGGGGACAGGTTTACTTTTTGAAAGCAAGCAATAGCCTTCTCGAAAACGCTACAAAAATCTCAGCTGAAGCCACTGGCACTGGGGAGCCACAAGGCTTGGGAGGAAAGACAGCATGTAAGCTAACTCTTCTAA